CCTGGCAAAAAATGATCTAGCTGGTTGGGTGCAGTGGCTCTCGCCTGTAACCCCAGTACTTTGGGAGGCTGAGACGGGTGGATCACCTGAGGTGGGGAGTTCGAGACCAGCCTGACCAACATGGAGAAACCCCATCTCTACTATAAATACAAAATTGGCCGGGTGTGGTAGGGCATGCCTGTAATTAGGCAGGAGAATCGCTTGAACCCAGGAGGCGGGCGTTGTGCTGAGCCAAGATCATTCCATTGCACTGCAGCCTCAGCAACAAAGAGCAAAACTCCTTCTCAAAAAAAAAAAAAAAAACAACTTACTAATTTTTAATATAGTACCTATAGTTCCATATTTATAGTTTATTAGCTATAGAATAACATCTCAAAGTTTTAGAGCAGGAAAAAATTGAAATGATTTTTGCTTATGTTAGAAGTAGATAAATGCTGAAGCATAAAAAGTAAAAAAAAAATAGAGCGTATATCCCTTTAGACTTTTTTATAAGTACATACACTCATATATTAATGCCTAAATATTTATGTGTTAGCTATTTCTTAAAAATACATACACATTTACATAAATGTATAACGTTCTCTACAAACATAAGAACATACTATAAACATTACTTTGAAATTTTCATCAAGTTACAATAGATTATAAACATTTCTCTAAGTCAGAGTGCATATGTGTGTATATTTTTTCTAATAGCAAAAAAAATTGTTGTATTAATCATACATTTACTTATTCAATAATTATCTATTAAATCTATTAAGAATTATGTGCTAGGCACTATTGTAGACACTGCAAATACGTAAGTAAACAAAAGACAAAAATCCCTGCCCTCATGGAGATAACATTCTAGTGGGAGAGAAAGGAAGGGGTTGTGGGACAGAGAGGAGGTTAGAAAATGTACCATAATATACCTAATCAATTCCTATTAAGAGGCATTCATGTTGTCATTACTTTTATTTTATTTTATTTTTTGAGATTGAGTTTCGCTCTGTTGCCAGGCTGGTGTGCAGTGGTGTGACCCTGGCTCACTGTAACCTCCACCTCCTGGGTCCAAGTGATTCTCCTACCTCAGCCTCCTGAGTAGCTGAGATTAAAGGCGTGAGCCACCATGCTCAGCTAATTTTTGTATTTTTAGTAGAGACAAGATTTCACCATGTTGGCCAGGATGGTCTCCATCTCTTGACGTCATGATCCACCCACCTCGGCCTCCCAAAGTGCTGGGATTACAGGCATGAGCCACTGCGCCCAGCCTAAATTTATTTTTTGTTATTTCTTTAAATTGACAGATAAAATTTTATGTACTTATTGTGTATACTTGAAAATATTATGTTTTCAATTATATATACATCGTGGAATGACTAAATCTAGCTAATTAGCATTTTTTCATGCTATAAACCATGTTGTAATAAATACCTCTGTTCACACTTTCCTGCTCACTGTTAGAAATAATCCTGGGATTTAAATTCCTAGAACTGAAATTACTGAGAGAATAAATATGAGATTTTATTATTCTAATAGATTTATTAAATTTTCCTTCAAAAGCTTATACCATTTTATAATACTTCAGACAGCACATGGTTATTTAAAATTTTTTTCAATTCTGCCAATCTTAATGGGCTCATTTCTTTACCCTCAGTAAGGCTGAGCATCATTCATAGCTACATACGTTATTTATATTTCCTCTGTAAGTAAGTTATCAGATGCTTTACTTATTTTTCTATCACGTTATTTTTCTTATTAACTTGTAGGGCTTAGTGTGTGTTTTGGCTATTAGCCCTTTCTTATAGTGGTTGTAAATATATTTCCACTGGTTTATTATTTGCATTTTAAATTTTCTTATTATACTTGTCACCATACAAGCATTTTCATCATTATGTGCTCAAATACACAAATATTTTAGGGATTCCATGTAGGCTCTCACTGCCACAGTAATTTTTTTCTTCCAGTTGACATTTAGAGTTTTATCCATCCTTTCAACAATTAGAAAGTTAAAAATGGTGAAGGACCATTAAACCAGGTGGATAAACTGGGACCAAAAGCACCATAATTCCAGTTAGTACTGCACTTACAGAAATCTGTCAAAATTCCTTTCCAGGAGACACACTGATTATAGCTTACAAATAGACATTTACCTAACTATAATTTTCCAATTTTTAGAATAAGATGCTGAATTCCATGGTAACTGATTCCTCCATTAACTATTAAAATTAAATAGTTATCTAATTTACTGGTTATTCTCTTAATCAGCTCTTCTCAAAGAATCCCTTCACATACTGTCTTTCAGGGAAAATATTGAGATATGCCATTAAAATCTTAAAATGGCAATATTTTTTCAATTTATTAGGAAAATAAGATTTTTTCTAAATTTAAGATTTAATATTTTCCTCTATGATTTTTCTAAATTTAAGATTTTCTAAATTTAAGATTTTCCTCTATGATTTTTTCATAAAGCTTTGACACCTCCTATTTCTTATCTACCAAAAGCACTGTCAAATGACAATAAATATAAAAGAAAAAATTATTTTAAATAAAAGATAAAATATTCAATAATGCTTATTGTAAAAGGGTCTCCTTATTGGTATACATGATTTTTTACTTTTGGTTATCGTTATGTTTATATAATATAATCATATTTTCTGCAGGTAAAAACTATTCCGACTTCAAAGAGGATACCAAAACATTCAGGTGTTCGTCTATAGATACAAGTTTAGAATCACAGATTAAAATAATTTGATTATTGTATTTGTTTTAGATTTTGTTTCCTATAAATTAATAACAATTGAATTGCCAATATGAACATTATATTAATCCTTCAGTCATTTCACAGTTATTATTTCATATTTTGTATAAATATTTTCAAGTAATGATGGCTTCCCTTAATTTAAACAGAAACTCCTAGAATTTTAAATTCTTAATTTAAACAGAAATTTATAGAAACTATTCTAAACATTCAATAATCATTTGTGAATGATTAATAAGTTCAATGTATTCAAAGTATTTTATGAGTTCAAAACAAAAGGCTCAGACTTTTAAGTTATAAGTATCAGGAGGTCAGTTTGGAGGCAGTAAGGTAAGCTACAAAATCAGACTCAAATCTTACCTGAAAATGATGTTTATAATGTACTCTCAAATGGGTGCACAAAATCAATAATGGGTGTGTGTTTGTGTGTGTGTGTGTGTGGTGTGGGGGGGTGGGGGGGTGGGGGGGGATGGCTGTGTGTAGGGGGATTGCGTGTGTATGGGGGGTGTATGTGTATAGTGTGTGTGGTGTGTGTGTGCGGGTGTGTGTAGGGGGATTGTGCATGTGTGTGGGGGGTGTATGTGTATGGTGTGTGTGGTATGTGTGTGGGGTGTGTGTGTGGGGTGTGTGTGTGTGGGTGTGTGTAGGGAGGTTGTGTGGAGGGTGGGCGTGTGTGTTGTGTGGGTGTGGGTGTATGTGTGTGTATTAAGAGAGAAACAGAGAGTGGGGGAGAAGGGGAGAAAGGGAAGTGCATGCTAAAAACTGATGAATCTAGGTAATGTTTGTATAAAAGATCACTGTACCATTAAAACTTTCCTGTAAAACTGAATTTTTTTAATGAAAAGTTTCAAAACTTCATTGAGAAAAATAAGAAAGCATATACAGCTTTGGTCTTTCCATTCGGGCAAATCCATCTAGGGCACAGTGTATAAAGTTATGCTCCCTTTAAACTGTAGCTTTTGAACTTCCAGATGAAATAATGGTAAAAGGAACTCTCCCCGCCACTGCCCACTGTCATCTCCACTCCCACTGCCCAACCAACCTGCTCCAAGTCCGAAAAATTAACCTACAGTTTCCAGGCATGACATTCTTTTGGATAAAGTGTTAAGTACAATTGCTACACAGATGAAAAGGTTGTGCTAAGAGAGAATGGGGGTACAGTTACAATTCTATTACTTATAAAGCAGTTAAGTACTTAATTTTTAATAAAGACTGAAAAAAAACTCTCCAGCTCTAAGGAATGTTCTAAGTAAATTAACAACTTATCACTGAGTGATATAAATGTAGCTAAATATTAATAGCAAATGAACAGGAAGACTAATTTTATACCAGTTTTCTTTGTAATATGACAATTCACAAATTGTTTTTTCTTTTCCTACAAGCATTTTTAAGAAATCTAGCTTGACCAATATCCATATTATAATAATAGCATAGATTCCTATTTTTATAGACTACATTTGGATTTCTGATTCATCGGGATATATTACAAGGATGCTAACTTTTAGAACCCTTTCTTCCTAATAGCCAGCAACTCAGTTACCAAATCCACAAGCAAGAGACATACTCTCAACTACCTACTGAATAAAGGCAGACAATGTAGGCAATTAAGCAGGACAGGTAGGGCCTGTGGAAACTAGCAAACTCATGACACAACTAAAAATCCGCTCTTTACTTCCAGCTTATTGTTGCCATGGCAGAGTGTAGGATCAGAATTGGCAAGTATCCTCACTTTTCAAAAGGAATTTGAAATATGGACTATGTACAAAACTTCTTAAAAATTCATAAGGTTAACATCCTCTAAAAAGTTTAAAACACCCAGCAGCCAAACGAAAACCTCTAAACACTTCTACCAGTACCATCAATTTGCAACCTGTCTTAAAGCGGCAGTTCACTTAAAAATCCAAGTTCTGGTTCAGTGACAGAAAAAGGCATACATTAATTTAGCTGTTTTTGTTTTTTGCATTCCACTTAATAGGTGAAACTGATATCTTATTTGAATCTATCTCTTTATATTTAGTTTCCAAAAATAATTCTATAAAAACTAATCTTAAAAACATAGATTCTTTCGGGAAAAGTTCCACTATGTTAATGGTAAATCTTTAAACTTGACTGATTCTGTATACAAAAAGTCAGGAAAATTATTTTCAACTTACCTGGATTTAAAGAAAAGTTTTTTTTTTCATCCCAAGCCATAACAAAGCACAAAAGAGAGATACAGTTACCTATTTTGCATCCATTTTTTTTAACTACAAGCACTCACCTAAGAATGCATAAGCAAACCGTGCCTCCTGATGTGAGTCTGCAGAATCCAAATCTCTGCTTACTTTCAATGTCTGTCAGTACAAAGGTAAAGTGCTGTCCAACTTGATTCTGAGACACCCTAAAATACAGTAACGTTATGAAACAATATGTCTTGTGTGACAATTTTCTTCAAGAAAAACAAAAGCAAGAGTATATCCGTAAATGATATTGGTTTCATCTTTCTAATCAGCTGGTTCTTAAAGCTAGAACAGTGTTCTAAAACTAAAACAAGTGTGAAATATATAAGGTAAACACCAAAATAAGTTGCAATATCTCATAGACCAAAAAGTTCAGCACATATTAATTCCTCACTAGGAAATCATAAAGTAGTCTGCCATAAATTTTCACGACTAAAAGTGCTCATATTTCATAAATTATCAAAATATTACTGAAACTGTAGAAGTAAGAAGCTAGACATGATGACTAAGTCTTTTTCTTCAACTCTAGCCTTTTTCCTAATTATCCTAAAATTGTTTAGATAGCAAATCATGTTGCTTTAGAATCTAATGGCAACCACCACCAACTCTGTTTAATTGCTTCTCCTGTTGACATTCTCACCCAATAAAGTACCCTACAAAAATAATCTTGGTATTTTTTTTCTAGAATTCTCTTGTAGAGGTATCAACATAATACTGAGGAATAAATTTCCAAGTACAAAGTAAGAATATAATTTCTACCAAAGGAAAAAAAAAAAGCTTACTGGGTAAGCTATAAAGAATTTTAGTCAACTTAAATATCATGCTACTATAATATGTGTCACACTTTGGTATAAGGGGCAATATAAAACATTAGATTGAATCTTTATTGCTATTTAAAATATATGAATATATTTCCTAGTACTGGCTGTAATCTTCCCAATAGATAACCATAACTGAACTTCTGCTTCCTTGTCCCAGAAAAAATATCCATGAAGCCTAAACTTTGGTTTTGAAATAGTCATAGGAATTGTGCAGAAGGAAACAAATTACTGCCAGTATCCAGTATCAATGCTATGAACAGTTTTGTAAGAAAATGTTGCATTGCAGCCAGCCGGGTGCGGCGGCTCAAGTCTGTAATCCCAGCACTTTGGGAGGCCGAGGCGGGCGGATCACGAGGTCAAGAGATCGAGACCATCCTGGTCAACATGGTGAAACCCCGTCTCTACCAAAAATACAAAAAATTAGCTGGGCATGGTGGCACGTGCCTGTAATCCCAGCTACTCAGGAGGCTGAGGCAGGAGAATTGCCTGAACCCAGGAGGCGGAGGTTGCGGTGAGCCGAGATCGCGCCATTGCACTCCAGCCTGGGTAACAAGAGCGAAACTCCGTCTCAAAAAAAAAAAAAAAAAAAAAAAAAAAGAAAATGTTGCATTGCAAATGCTGAACATTTAACAAATACATTTTTAAGTAGACAGGTTTTCTTACACTTTAATAAACCTAAAAAACAAAACAACAATCTCTAGTGACAAATGTGACCTCTAGTGCCCAAGGTTCATAATATCCTTTTTGTAGCTGGATCCTAAATCTTCCTTTATGTTATCCTTACTATTAACATTAAATAGGTAACATTTTTTGGGGGGCAAGGGCTTTAAAGATAAAGCCTACTGAATACTTATTAGTACTGATTAGTCCATCATTCAGAAGGCTTTATCTTGAATACAGTAAAATCAGAAAGTCTCACTAATATTTACTTTAGCAAGGTATTTTCCTAAAATATTCTTTCTAAAAGCCTTCATATCACACTCTCAAAAAAAAAAAAAAAACTGATAACAGAGTCTAAAAAGTCACATGAAAAATAATAAATGATCTGCTGTTATGCTCAAAGGGCTATATATTCCATGAAATTTCAACTGTATGCAATGTCATCATTCAGTATTTGTTCAGTGAAATATAAAGATAAGATTTTCAAAACTAGAAGAGTTTCCCCATAGCCTTCCATAATTCTATGAATTCTAAGAAGGTATTCTTGAGAAACAAGTAGCCATGAGTTTTACATGACACAGATGGTCTTTTCAATTAGGATGAAGTGAGATAGAAACCAGGAAACATACATTAAGACATAATTCTAAGGCTCTGATCAAAGTCATATTAACATTTTTTTCCACTGGTGCTCACAATTTCTACCTGAAGAATAGAGAACAAAGGCAAAACATAGAACCTACTGGCAATAGTGTTTTCAGACTTGTCTTAACTGGTCATAGTAGAGAAAATAAAAGATGTGATTTTAAAAGCCTTCCTCTTCCACATATTAATTAATTTTCAATCTCTTTTCAATCTCTAGTATTTTTGTGAGAAGCAGTAAAGAGAAGGTACATTTTATTTTATAAAAAAGTGCATTTAATCATTTTAAAGTATGTACTAAAATTAGCTAAATTTATTTAAATGATACTTATACTGTACCTTTCAACGTCAAAGGGAAAACAGAACTTTGGCACACTCTGTAGTATTTCCTACAAATGGAAATTTTTAAACAAGTAAGTTTTAGAATATTTTTTAAGATGAAGTTAAAACTTTTTTGAGATATTTTCTAGGAAAAAAAAGTTACTTTCTTTGTCCTTAAGAAAAATAGCGCAGGTTCCTAGACTAAAATAATTGATTATTAAAAAGGAATTAAGCTTGTGCTTTGGCAGATTGCACTGACAATGCCACAGAAACCCCGGGGGGGAAAGGCCTGGCCTGAAGGGTATTAACACCCTTCACATCCCCGCTGGGATTCCCTTCAACGAGGCCATATGGATTTTACAAGAAGCACCGCACCATATGGGTAAGCTACGTCTGCTGCTACTTGTACCACAGTCTAGCCATAGGGACTTCTGACAGATCCTGGCTCAAAAATATAAATGTTGTTTCAATTAAAATGCAGGCAGAGAAAAGGGAATGAAGTTGGCAGCAGAATGAATTACCGAGAGGTATAACAACTCTACATGTACCATAGTCAAACAGTTTAAAAAAAAAAAAAAAAGAGAGAGAGAGAAAGACTTTCTATAGCCAAAGAAACATATTTACATGATTCAACTCTTGATACTAAGTTTTATCTTAACACTCTTAGAGAAATAATGTATCTAAAAACAAGCTTTCAAAAATACAGCTTCTATTCTGTGTACTTTAAGAATTGCCTAATATGAAAATCAATGCTTTAATAAAACAAAAAATAATCTGAATGATTTCAAAACCTTTAATTATTTTAGTCATTAATAATAATTTAAATATCTTTTAGAAACCACACCCATTAACAACTACAACATACAAATAATTATCAGCTAAAAATCTATTTTGATATATTTGAAAAATAACAAAATTAAGTCTTATTCAAAAGTTAAACTTTAAACTTGAAGACAACATTATACAACTTCAAAGTCAGGCAATTTTCCAAGACAAAGAATTTTATAAGGATATTTCCTATTAAAAAGAAAAAAGAGAAAACATCCTAATACAGCAGCCATCCTCACTGAACAATATTTTCCCTACCACCTCTTTGCCACTAAAACAAAGGTCTACAGAAATTATCAATATCTGAATATTTAAACTCCATATGTAAATATAGCATTGGGTGTTTTAAAGTAGAATTTCTTGCATTCTTTTAAAAAGGTAGACTGCAATAAAGTGTCAACTAAAAATAAAGCATTATAAAATTTCAATACTAATACCTAAGAAAGCTTCAAGTGCCTTAACGTACACAAGCAGAAAGAAAAGAATCTTGTTTAAAAAAAAAAAAAAATCTTCTCCTAGGGCAGGATACCCTGAATTACTTATAATCGTGTACCTTTAAAAGTATGAGCACAGACTCCATAGTAAGAGAAAGCCAACTGTTTCACTACTGACAATATTTTGTTAAATGTAGTTAAAAAGGGTTACTAAACTTGCAATAAGTTAAATTCCACAAACTGAAAAACAGTTCATGGCAAATGAGATCAGTTCATTTTCATTTGACCATTGCTTAATCCTTATCTTGTGCTTTATAAAGGGAAACCATTCACCATTTTTACCATACATGTGAACACCACTCAGAACTCCTATAAAACTGTCCACATAATTTCTCTAACAATAAAGAATATATATTCAAAATGCAATGTCTGCCTCTAAATACACAAATCAGTAATACATTTCACATTAATTTTAAGACTCAAATTTACAAAGAATGCTTCCCAGTTAGTTGCCCAATCTTTCACGTCCTCCCCCTCCCTTCTTCCACAAGCAACACACATGCACACACTTCTGCAAAACAGCCTCAGCTCGCTTCCCAACTGGCAGAAGCATCCCTCAGGGGACAAGTCTTTAAACCTCCGCACTCTTTAAAATTCAACCAGCCAGCAGGTCTATAGTCTAGTGTATAAACAGTATAGACAAAAAAAAATCCTCTCTCAGCTTATGTCAGTGACAAAGCAGCTCAGCAGTTGACTGTTTCTCCCCTGACAGTATAAACTGGGTTTACACAGATCAATAGCTGGAAGTCCTACCTAGCTCCCAGGGCTTGGTTTTCTTCCTTAATTACAGGTGCTACTGAAACTGAAGTGTAAAAAGAAAAAAGAGAGGCTTGGAGGGAGGCATAAAATGCATGCAAATAGCTTTTATGGATCCTTTTACCAATAGTATTAATTGAAAATTCTACTTCTGCATTTATTACAAAAGTGTTTACAAAGACTGGTATTTTCACTATGCAGTATTTTTAATATGACATATATACAAACGCACACACAAAATTCTAGGTTAGCATCCACAGATTACATGAAAGTTTTAAGTCAATACTCTCCAGAAGTTATCAATTTCTCCTTTTTCTGCAGACTTTTGCTTTTAAAGAATATTCCTTAGCCAAGAAAAATTATTTGGATTTCAGAATCCTCCTAATTCTCCAAAATATTTTATTTGTATGCCAAAAGATTATATTGGCCAACACATGTAAAATGATAAAAAAAAAAATAGGAATAACAAACAAAAAGAATGGATGGAATAGAATACACAATAATGGATAGCAAAATGAAAGATGCAATAATACATATTTCTGTATATGTCCTAAAACAGCACATCTATGACCATATTAATGACTGAAAACAAGGACTGATGAAAATTCATATGTTGGGGGTTTTTTGGTTCCATGCCAATGTATCTCTAGTAATAAGCATTACAATGAAATTGATCTTGTAAGAGAAAAGAGAGCCAATTGCCAGTATTATAGTGGTATATTAATTATTTATCCCATCAGGTTACCATTTAGCACTATAAATTGATCAACTGAAAAGGAAAACAAGCATTTAAGAAAGAATTTCCTTTTTAAAAAATCAAAAGTTTACATCTTGATCAAAGTTCTTAGAATTTCTTCTTAGAACAAAGGTCTTTGAATATCTGAGAAAAATGCAAGATAAAATGAGATGTGTTATTGTTTATATCAATAATTGCTTTTCCTCCTTTTCAACCATTTTGTCCTCCACTCTATACTGAAATTCTGGTGTTCTCTAAAATTCCATAGTTTCTTCTCTTCCCTACTCAGTAAGACATATCTGTAAGCAATCCTATCTACACCCATAGTTTCAACTACAACTAGGAAATCTCTTAGTTTCATAGTTTAGTTATTTCTCCAGGATTATGGCTCTAACTACTTTCTGGTATCACTTTCCAAATGTTCCCAGACACCTCTAATGAAGAATGTACAAAACTGAAGTTGTTATTTTAGTTATGGTCCTTAACACCTAAACTGGCAGCACCACCTACCTACCTACCCAAATCAGAAACACGGTAGTTACCTAGACCCCTCCTTTTCCCTGACCCCCACATATAATTAATCACTCACCAAGTCCTTTCATTCAATTTCATAACTATCTTGCTCCAGAGGTTTTCAATGGAGAGTGGAAAGGATTAGAAAGAAGATGAGAAGGTGTTAGAATCACTTGGGAGTATTTTTCAAAACACAAATTTGACTGCCTACATTGTAAACCCACAAAGATCCTGAATCTTAACTTCAGTTTGAATAGCACCTATAATTAAAGAGTATATCACTTAAGGGTACTTAATGTATATAAGAAAAACTTATACTCTCATAGCAAGAATTGACATGGTTGACTTGTTCAGGATCTGTTTAATTCAGCATCTACCTCACGGACTCAAGAGTCTTCTCTCTTGTCCTGCTGGGCTAAATTTGTTAGCTTTTTCCTCCGCTATCTCTACTCATGATCACAAAATGAGCTTCCAGAGTTCAGCACATCCCATGAAGATACAGCAGTGTTCCGTGAAAGAAGCCTCTCTTTCTGTCAGTCTTTTTATCACTGAGGAAACTTTTCCCAGAAGTCTGATCCCTGACTTTCCCATTACATTTAATTAGCCACAGGGCCATAAGCCACTCCTAAACTAATCCCTGGCAAGGGAAATGGTTGTCTGTGTTCAGTTTAGCCTTAGACTAGTTAGAGTAAAAGTCTGAATTCAATCCATTCATCTTCCAATAACCATGATCCATGTAATTACAGAGAAAAATAAATGAAGTATCATATTTTGAGAATCCTTATAATGATATCAAATAATTACATTTAAAGTTCTCAATAAAAATATTACACAATATCATATGAGGATGATTTTTAAATATCTATAATTTTATTCATGTGAATAACACTTTCAGAATCATTTTGTACAATTAAACAGGCTACTTGTCCATTTTAATCTAACTTTTCACAAAGGCCACCAATTTCTAAAAAGATGATTACTTAATTTGGAATATATCTCCCAAATAAGTGAGAATTACCTAATACTACATATTCATTCAATTTATTTGTGCTTTACACAAGAGAGTAATAAACTTAACAATAAATAAATAAATAAACTGAGCTATTTAAAGCAGGTTTCATTGCATGGCACAGAACTGAGATTCCCAAACACCACTTAGACGTTCCAGAACACCATAGCAAGCTCTCAAGGTTACTGTGAGATATTTAAATTTTCAAGGGAAACAAATCTATATTAACAGGGTGATTAAGTCAAGGTGCATTTTATAGAGATGACTATACTAATTTGTCCAATTACAGACATAGCTTCTCTATCTTTTATTTTTTAAGACGTGTTCTACCCCCACTTATGAGTGAGAACATGCAGTATTTGGTTTTCTGTTCCTGTGTTAGTTTGCTGAGAATGATGGTTTCCAGCTTCATCCATGTCCCCTGGAGAATATATTTTTAAACTTAGAGCCAAAAAGGAACTGTCAGGACAACTATGCCCAATGTGGAATTTTTCTCTTGGATTTTACTTTTATATAGTGTTTTAGTTAGAAATAAATCTCTTTTACCCCTCCTCCTTAAATTAGGGAAAGCACTCTAAGTCTGTGAAATCCAACACTAAAACTACTTAGGTTGTTGAATGTGATCAAGCTATTTGTCACTTCCAAGAATTTAAAATAAATTTCTACTATTAGAATATTAAAATAACTGCCAGGAAGCAAATACATTCTGCTTTAAAAACAACTGTGCTATAA